TCTTAGAAACGATCAATTTTAAAATCTGTTTTATGGCTAATTTTCTAATTATCTGGCTTTGTTGTGAAAAGATTACATTTTAAAATTTAACATCCTTTACAAAACTTTAGAAAAATTGATGATAAGAGATAAATTCTAATATAATATATATCACTTAAACCATTGAAAAACGCTTAGTTCTCTTTTTGCCTCCTATTAAAGGTCATATTAGACTCCTTACGATGCTTTACTAGTCTTCATATTTCTTAGACGGTTGTGAATTGGAGAAAGTTTCGACAAATAGTGACCTCGGTAGCTTTCGTATGTCGACTAGACTAGAAGCAAATGAACCAAAGAAAAATCTTCAGGACAGGCCAAATCATGGGAAATGCAACCTAGTACTGATATACGGTATGCCTCGCATTGTTTGACTATAAAAAAGCTTTCGACACGGTCATACCTCAGTTCCTGTATTTCTACTATATAGGTACACTACCCTATGCGTCCCGATTTATACCTATGGATTTTGACTGTACGGGACAGACAAACTTTTCAATTTTTACAAAATCCACCTACAATCCAAAAATCCTTCTAAGAATAGTTGATTCCATTGTACGTCATCAACCTTATTATCCAGACTGATCTTAATCTTATGTTCCAAACCTGGCCCACTTCCACCGCAATCAATTTCACTCTATACTATCTTCTCATGACAACCTCCAGCTCAACCCTTCATCGCTTCGCGACATTCTAGCGAAAATATGCTGACCCATATGGCGATGGTCGGCGAGTTATAAAAAATTAAAATTTATAAATGCTAAGGGAGAGTAACACACTCTCCCTTAGCATTTATAAATTTTAATTTTTTAATAACACATTATTTAAACTTATTTATTTTTTAAACTTTGTCCTGTTATTTCATATTGCTTATTTTCTATTTTGGAATTTTTATGTATTTAGGTTTATTTTGTTATATTTTTAATTTGAATTTTTTATTATTTTTTCTTCATTTTTTAGTTATATTAGAGAAAATTAATTATTTAATTGACTGTCCTAACCTAGAGCTTTTACCCTGTTTTGACTAATTACATGGATTAAATTACTAATTACTAATTAAAGTACTACGAAATACATATTTCAGTAAATATAAAATTGATTTTTACAAAATTTATAGCCAACATAATTATGAGAAATAGTTATTTTTCAATTTATGTCTTAGTTCAGATAGTAGGTCAAAATTTATAAACAAGAAGAAGCGACAATGGGAGGACTTCTCTCCCCAATTCTAAATCTAATAATGAGTCGATAAACAGCGCAAAAATTAGATTTAAATGGATTTAAATGGAGAAATGTCTTTCGAGTTAAATTTCAACCTGGAATCGTTATCTTCTGCTAATTCTAACTTACGTTCTACGAAATCCTTATTTCACTATAAAATTGATTTTTACCAAATTTATATCCATCATCTTTACAGATTAATGTCTGAAGTTAGGAAATTTTAAACATTTAAAAAAGCCATCTTTTTCTGGGTAAATTGTTGTAAAAAATGGACCTAGCGCAGTTCTGTGACTGAGGGGCTGAGCAAATACATTTCCAAATTTGGCCGTTTGTGAGCACAAACCAGGTGGTCGGTTTTTTTATGGGTAGTGTATTATTTATGCATTTGTGGACATGTTTACATTTTACATTTTTTTTCAAATTTCTTAAAACAATCGAATTCCCTATTTGTTTGTTGAAACAGTATAGTGTGTTATTATTTTAACTTATTTATTTTTTACTTTAAATTTTAAAGTTTGTCCTGTAATTTCACATTGCTTATTTTCTATTTTGTCATTTTTATGTATTTAGCTTTTTTTATTTTTTAAAATATTTTATTATATTTGTTTTATTCAAGAAGAAATGAAAATGGGAGGACTTCTCTGTCCAATATTAAATCTAATAAAGAGTTGGTAAACTGGGCAAAAATTAAATTTAAATGGATTTAAATGGAAAAATATCTTTTGAGTTCAATTTCAATTTCGAATCGTTATCTTCTGCTAATTCTAAATTAAGTACTACGAAATCTATATTTCACTAAATATAAAATTAATTTTTTACAAAATTGATCTTTACGGATGAATTTCTGAAGCTAGAAAAACATTTAAAAAAACCATTTCTTCAGCGTAAAATGTTGCAAAAAAATGAGACCTAGCGCAGATCTGTGACTTAAAAGGCTGAGAAAATATGCATTTCCAAATTGGGCTATTTTTGGACAAAAACCAAATGGTCGGTTTTTTTCTTTGGGTAGTGTATTATTTATGCATTTGTGTCCATGTTTAATTTTACATTTTTTATTTCAAATTTCTCAAACCAATCGAATTCCATATTTATTTATTGAAACTGGGTAACACTGTTGTATTTAAATTGAAATTGAATTTTTTTCATTAGTTTTAATAATATATTGTATACGATAACGTGAACGATTGAAATATTAGGCTTTAAGAGCAACACTTCTGAACTACCTGCAGGAAATGCTGGTTTAGCATTCCGCGCCATTATATTTTTCATAGTTTATTGCGGATTTAAATGTAACATGTCCTTTGAGTTCAATTGCAACCTGGAATCGTTATCCTCTTCTAATTCTAAATTAAGTTTTACGAAATGCTTTTTTCAATAAATATAAAATTTATTTTTACCAAATTTTTATCCAACATCTTTAGAGATATATGTCTGAAGTTAGGAAACCATTTAAAAAAGCCATTTCTTCAGCGTAAAATTTTGCAAAAAATGGGACCTAGCGCAGATCTGTGATAAAAGTCTGAAAAATATACATTTCCAAATTTGGCCATTTGTGGAAAAAACCAAGTGGTCGGTTTTTTTATGAGTAGTATATTACTTATGCATTTGTGTGCATGTTTAATTTTACATTTTTTACTTCAAATTTCTCAACCAATCGAATTCTCTATTTGTTTGTTGAAACTGGGTAACACTGTTGTATTTAAATTGAAATTGAATTTTTTTTCATTTGTTTTAATAATATATTGTATACTATAACATATTAAATATGAACGATTGAAGTATTAGGTTTTAGTAAGAGCGACACTCACATTTGCATATTATAAACCAATAAAAAAAGGCTTTTTTTTACTTCATTTATTTGTATCTACAACTGTACATGGATTATATACAACCAGCAGATTGGATTTCAGATTATGTGATGGCATTATGGGCATTATAGAGAAAGCTACCCATTGGCAGCCGCTCTGGATTAATGAAATGATATTAATCATTTAAGAGGTCTCTTATCCATATTCTTTTCAGACGTTTACGTGGTAATTGTGGGGAATGGAGTATTCGTATTTGTGTGTTGGTGTGATTTTGTAATTTACTATGAAAACGTCTGTAATATGTTTTCCTGGATGAAAAAACTGTTGGGATTTGAAGATCTCTGTGAAGTGTATTATTGTTTACATAAAAAGGGGCAGAAACAATTAGCCTCAAAATTTTGGATTGAAAACTTTGTAATCTTTGATTATTGGAATACTTCGCCGATCCATATACTTGGCACCCGTACATCATCAACAAATAGGTTTGAGTAGGTATGTGTATGTCGAATGTTTTGATTTTAATGGTAATTTTGATTGTCGGTTGAGAAGGTAATAAAGAAATTTAAATCGTTTGTTCAGTGTCTGTTTTTTTAATCGTGTGTGTGGATTCCAAATTAATCTTCTATCAAATGTAAGTCCTAAATAGTTAACTTTGTCGGATTGAGAAACAGGATTTAAAATGTATTTTGTGTTCAATTTCAACCTGGAATCGTTATCTTCTGCTATTTCTAAATTAAAGTACTACGAAATCCTTATTTCACTAAATGTAAAATTGATCTTTACAAAATTTATATACAACATAATAATGAGAAATAGTTAGTTATAAATTTATGGGTTAGTTCAGATAGTAGGTCAAAATTTATAAAGAAGAAGAAGCGAAAATGGGAGGACTTTTCATTCCAATACTAAATCTAATAATGAGTTGATAAAATGGGCAAAAATTAAATCTAAATGGAAAAATATCTTTTGAGTTCAATTTCAATTCGGAATCGTTATGCTAATTCTAAATTAAGTACTGCGAAATCCTTATTTAACTAAATATAAAATTGATTTTAACAAAATTTATATCCAACATATTAAATGTGAACGATTGAAATATTAGGCTTTAAGGGCGACACTTCTGAACGACCTGCAGGAAATGCTGGTTTAGCATTCCGCGCCGTTATATTTTTCATAGTTAATTTCGGATTTAAATGTAAAATGTCTTTTGAGTTCAATCACAATTATTGTATATATACTAGTTATAATAAATCTGTTATTATAAACAGTAGAAATGATAATAAATTTCTTGATGGAAACGTGCATTAAGATCCCATTAAAGGGAAAAGTTCTTTAGAGCACGGGGAAAATTATTGTAAAAGGAAAAAGTGGCCGTCGGGATATTAATAAGCCGGGGCAAGTTTTTCATTGTAACTAAAGGCTAGAATAAGTTGAGCCTTTAACTTTTGTCAACCGGATGAGTGTTATTAATTCCTAACATCAAAGGAAGAAGTTTTTTCTCCGGGCTTCGCCATTGTAAAGAATCCCAACGTGGACGGAATATCTTAGCCGGGGAAGCGGTAGTCTGATCTCGTCCCTAATTAACGACAAGCCTAAATGTCTTCCACCGAGGAAACTCTAATTAAATTTAGTATTGAAAAAGCCATAAGGGCGAGGGAGCCGGAAACTAATTGGGTACACTGTCCTGCCCCTTCAACTTCGCACTAACGACTTTCGAGTCTTGCGGGCTAGGTTTCTTACTCCTTGAACTATCCCACTTCGAACTAAAAGCGTCTATTGAAACTTAGAGTGGGTCTAAAGTTTTTTTTAAAAAGATTATGCTGAAGGTTTAAAAATAGCATATAACCTAAGTGCAAACAGAATTTTGTAAAAAGGTCATTTAAAAACTAAGTAATGGATAATATCATGGTTTTGTTTAAATAAAGGTTAACTCACTTGTATTGACAGGTCATTCCGTAGCCGAAATCTCTCCAGAAGCCGGTGTCCCTCGAAATAAGTAGCTGCTCAGTCTCTGAGGGTATTTTTCGTCCTTGGAGAGTGTAGACGACCATGGGGTTGTAGAGGCTGAATACGACTGGGTAGTAGACGCTGCGGCCAGGGCTGGCGTTCCACCTGCACCTTTCTAGGAACCTCGCGCTGAACACAATATCGACATCACAGAAAAACAGGAGGACGTCTTCCCCCAAGACGCCGGGCTCTTCCCAGGGTCGTTCCGCGCCCACTTTGAGCCCTTTGCTCCTCGAAAACGTTTCGTTCAGGGCGAGGAGGCGGAGGAAAGCGGAATTTCTCCCAGCCGATTTGGACATAATGAGTCTCGCTTCCGCCAGGCCTTCTTCTCCAAAATAGACCACCGTCAACAAGACGCGGCGGTCGTTTTTCAGGCCTATTTTCACAAATTTCTCCATGAATCCCTGAAAAGTCTGCACCCTTCCGGACAAGGGCAGAATGATATGGATCAGCTCTTTTTTAGACGTGACACTCGCTGTAGATATCGGCATCAGGGGTGCGAAAGGTCTCAAAACTGTCACTCTCGTGAATCCAGACTTTGCCAATTTATTTCTGAAATAGAGTTCGTACTCGGTACCGGTCGTCGGTTCAGTTCTGTAAATCCCTTCGACGAAATCGTCCAAAGTGTATTTGTTTTTGGTGAGGTTTTTGTTCAAGCTGTCTACGGCGGACTGCAACGCCTGGTATAAATCCTTCCTCCTGAAGCCGATGGGCTTTTCAACTACACGCTTCCCCAGGCCGAGATCGATGGGATATACGCGGTTGAGCGTGAAATGGTTAAAGGAAATCATTTCGTATTCGTTGTTGAGATACAATCCGTGTGTCAATTCAGCCTTTTCGATCTGTTTTTTGACGTGCATGGAACATTCGCTTGCATTCCAGTCAGTAGAGGAACCTGAAACAGAAATCCTCCAATGAAATTTGTTCTATTAAATCAATTATTTATAATAATAATACTGAACCCCTTGAAAAACAAAGATGATATAAACAAAATAACAACTTTGAGCTAATAAATTAAATTGTCTCTTATTAATCAAATATAATATAGAAATACTTGAACTAAAGGTATAGATTATATTGTCATTTGTACTGCCCCCCTTATAATTTGGCCTTTTGGCCAAAGACTCAGGCAATTTACCTGGCGTAAAAACTCGTTAAAGGGACTTTCCAGGATTTCAGTAGGGCCATAATTGAGCCTTGTCCAGAGGAAGTCGTCGTTAGAAAAACAAACGGCTCAATCTCTGGTGGAGAATCATGTTATCGGCGTTGTGGGGGTGGAAGGGGGTTGCCTTTAAAACAAACATTGTCTCCAATTAAGTGGAAAGTTTCTTTTCCCCCCGGATAGCTGTACCCGGGTCCATCCGCATCGGCCTAACTTCAAGTCGAACTTGATTTCAAATAACTTTCCTATTAAGCCGCTCTCCCCTACCGTTTCACTCAATGAATTTAAATTTAATTCGCACGAAGAAGAAAAAAAGGACAGCCTGTAAATAAATCAATATAAAAGCAACTGAAATTTATCTGCTTCCTAGATATTTTATTCATTTTTTTATATGGAAAGGTAAACTTAATAATTATACAAAGTTGTTGCAAAACACTCACGTTTAATTTTCACTTTGCCCCTTTGCTATAACTTGAAAATCTCTTTGAACAGAATTTAGCCACGGGTATAAGTATTTTTCCACCAAACTCAATTGTACCACCCAAAATTAACCCCATCTTTTTGAATTTAAATTCAAAATTCAAAAAGATGGGGTTGAGATGGGAATTTAGTGTCCGAGTGGATCGAGGTCACGATAGCTCAAGTGGTAGAGCAGCGGCGTATCTAGCCGAAGATCGTGGGTTCGAATCCCCCTCGTGTCATTGACTTTTTTATCCCAACTAAAAACCTTAATTAATTGTAATATTTTAATTGGTCAATTGGACCACGAAATTAGTGAATTATTCACAATGTTCAACTTCTTAACATTTTCTCTCCAGATTGTTCCAGTCTCCAGTTGGATCAAAATCCCGTTTTGAGCCAGTTTCGACAACAACTTATACTTGACGTGCACTTGTCAACAATCTTATTCTTTTACTTTGATTTCCAAAGTTCGTTCAAAACCGAAAATAAAAGATTAATGACTATCATATTATTCAACATTTATAAAACTAACCTACGATTTTTTAAAAGAAAGATCGAGTCAATTGAATTGAACCAAGGAACTAGGAAAAGGATAAAAAGCTAAAGACAGTTGCTTGGGGGAGAGATAGCACTACATTTCTAGTATATTTTTATCATTATTATCAAACAGAAAAAAAAAACAGCAAGCGTAGGTAGAGTGACTTAATGACTTAATTTTCAGTACCAAGATGGCCATGGAAAAATAATTGCAGTAATGAAAATCAATCACCTACTGCTTAGAAAAAGCATCGGATTAATTGGACTGATCTAAGGAACTAGGAAAATAAAAAAGTCAAAAAGCTGCCGTTCTTGAGCAATACGAAATCTCGATTTCTAGTATCCTCTAATGTTAAACATCTTGATTTTTTTTGTTGGTGTTCCAGTCTCCAGTTGAATCAAACACTGGTAGTGGGTCAGATCCTCCAAAAACCTGTTCTTGACATGCCCCTATGGCACGTACAGTCCTACACTTTCATACTGTTAAAAAAAAATTAATGACGATTCTCCTAATATTGAATATATTATAGGTAGCTATAGAAATTACCTAATACTTCTTATATGTAGTACTTAATTAATTGTGAATAATCCGGAACGTAGACATTAATAGTTGTGATTATTATAATGATAATGATTATAAGAGAATACTAGGAATCGAGGATTTTGTATTCCTTAAATACTGTAGTTTTCTATCTGTTATTTCCTAGTTCCTTGTTCAATTGACTTAATCCTTTTTTTAAGAAGAAGTAATTCAATTTGTCATGTTGAAAATGTTAAAACTTAGTGAATAATATTAAAGAAAGTTCAAAGTTTTGGGATTTGACGATGATGATGATTATGAGGATTATATAAACAAACCTCTTCTCTCAAGCATCATGTAACTTTGCATAGATTCCTTATGTCTAGTCAATTACATTGCTTGGTTAAAAAAATTACAGATATTGTAGCAGCTTAGGAATTTATTTAAACTTGAGAAGTGCTAGACCTGTAGGTTAGATTGTATGTATTGCGGCTGCTAAAGAGACTTTTGCACAACGTCATCAGATAGGACAATGTTCTCTACTTATGGGTTATAGCACACTATCTTCAGGCGTTTTATTACCCTCCACTGGATAGCGGGTCCTCAGTTACGTTTAGAGACATTGTACGTTCTTGTGTAGAAACTTGTTCCTTATACATGTACATGTATAGATAAAAGGTTTTATGTGTAAATATACATTAATTCGAAAATATTTAAAAAAACAATACAAAATGTATTTGAGATGATTTTCACTATCCGTCTAATTTATTTATTTTTAAAATAAACTGTACACCAAATTAAAAACAATCAGAAACAGTTGATTAGATGTCAAAAACATGAATTCACAAAATACAAAAATGTAAACATTAATAATTAAATTTCTAAATTAAAACAGACTTTTTCCACATACTTAAATAAACCCAGGAAGTAAGAAAAGAAAGGCATACTAAACAAATAATAATCAAATATAAAGATATGTGTAGAAAAAAGAAAGAGAAAAGAGAGAGCGAGAGAAAGAAAGAGAGTGAGAGTGCATGGGAAAGAGACGTAGGGAGAGACCGAAGGTGGGTGGTATAGAAAGAAAGAATGAAAAAATAATAAAGTGTATACCAATGGAAAATTTAGAAAACAGAGAAAAGAGAAATAGAGACTGAAGAAGCAAACAGAAAAAGAAAAAAGAAAGAAAAGAAGACTAATCCTTCTTTAAAGAACGATCGAGTCAATTGACCTTAACAATAAGGAAACGTGCAGTAAGCCAATAGGCGGCAGTGCTTAAAAAATACAAAACCCCAGATTTCTAATATACTCTGATCATCATCATCAACTTCAGTCCTCACTTTTCGCTTTGATTTCAAAAGTTAAAAACCGATAAATATTAATGACTTAATACTTTGACAGGCAAAACTTTCCACCTACTTGTAATATAACGTGATTTGTATATATTTTTATATATTGATCCAAGTTTCACGTTTTTTACGTTTAATAATTTAGTCTTTGTCTAAAAAAGTTTAAAAAAATGTAAATTAAAAGAAAATGAAAAAATAAAATAAAATAAAAATAGACAGATAAAATTTCTTTTAGATTGTTAATTAACCTTTCAATATCTTGTATTTCCTCTTCTTGTCTGAAGTACATTTCGAAGACACCTCGGCATACTTTTTAACAGTCTGGAAATGTCTTTTTGCTGGAGATTAGCTCATTCTACAAGAAGAAAGAAGATCTAGATCGTGGTGTCTATGAGGGAGGTGATGGATGTGCTTTTATTTGTCTTTTGAGGTTATCTCGTAAATGTTCGATCGGGTTCAAGTCTGAAAAACGGGCTGGCCAGGCTAAGACCCTGATGCTGGTTCGTTTGTACGATGCGAGGGGCATGTGGACGGGCATTGTCGTGCATTACATGGTCGCTGTTTTCATGGAGGATAGGCAACGCTGTGCCAAAAGTTTATCCAGACCCTCCACGAACTCTGTGGGACTCTCCATTGAAATTTTCCGCCCACACCATCGCTGAGCGTTGAAAAGGTTGGTTCTGGGAAAAATTACAGGCTTTGTATCTTTCATTTCGCCTTCTCCACACTCTTGCACGTCCATCTGGAGATCGTAGAGCAATCTAGACTCATCTGTAAAAAAAGTACAGAAGACCAATCGTCCAAAGAACTGCTGTGTTCCCGAGCAAATGCGAGCCGCGCAACTGGTCAATTCTGGTCCTCTGTGTGTCTCCTGGGGCGAAAAGCCATCAGTCCATACTGATTTAATCTTCTTCGAGCAGTGCGTTCAGAGATTTAGACACCACAAACTTCCTGGAGCTGTTGACTTGCTTGAACAACAGTACGGTGCTGGTTTCGCAAAATTCTCAGTCATTGGTGGTCACCTTGCGGTTCTGTTACCCTAGGGTGTCCAGAACCGGGCCTTCTATGGTAGGACCCAGTTTCTCGAAAACGTCTAACGTCGTCTCGCAGAGTTTCGTAAGGAACTCAGATGTCAACCCGCATACCTGATGGAACGTTCATCATCAATAAGTGTCCCACCACGCGCAACATCCTCAGCATTAAGGGGCATTTTTAAGTTTGAAATTGCAATCAAGCAAACGAAGATGAAAACTAAACAGTTTATTGCTTCAGAATTTAAATGAGACTGAATAAACATTTTAAATTTCGTAAAAAGGAAACATTGAAAAATCCTTTATCCTTGTTTTGGATTAAAAATTAAGTGTGTTTACCTATCATTAATATCCCTAATTTAAAACATAGCATAAACAAATATTTATTGATAGAACTAATTAGACAAATTAAGGGCAGAATTTTCGTTTATGGAAAAAATGAAAAAAAAAATCAATGGGGTGGAATTGGTTGCCTGTCAGTGTATTTAACATATTCAAGGAAGCCATAAAAACCCTACTATTTTTTGTGAAGTATCGAGTCAATTGAACTGAACTAAAAACTAAGAAAAGGACAAAAAGCTTGGAAATTTGAGGAAGTTTTATTGTACACGAACGTATTTACATATGAAGGCGCATTTCTTAGCATAACTAACGGATGGATATGCAACCTTGGTTATCAAGTAATAAAAAACATGTTATAATTTTTATTAGGTTTCGTGATCCAAATAAATTCTTTTCAATGAATTAATTCTTTGATTGAGATAAAAAAGTCGGTGTCACGAGCGGGATGAAAAATGGCAAAAAGGAGGGAAAATTCGAGAGGTGAGGTTGTGATGG